AGGGGGTGACATCTAGTGGATTAGACTAGTAATAAGATTAACGTAAATCTTATGTTCAATGTTTGCGGAAATAAATATTGAAAAAAATCGATTTGTGGCCTTTGAGAATCGATATTGAATCGACCACATTTTTTAAAAAGATATATCGAAAAATCAGTTTTTTTGCCCAGCCCTACAAATGAATGTATGAATTAATTAATTATATGAATATACCTAGGGCTGGACAATAATTCCATATCAATATGTATCGCGATATAATTTTTTTCAATAACGGTGATATGATTTTTAAACACATTTCCGATATTTCGATATACATTACCAGTTTCCCATACATACATAAGAAATTATAGAAATTAATACTTTTATTTAGCAAGGATGCTTAAAATTGATCAAAAGTGATGATAAAGGCATTTATAATGTTACAAAAGATTTATATTTCAGATAAATAGTGTTCATATCGATATCGGAATTATATCGTATCGACCGAAATTAAGAAATATATTGTGATATCAATTTTGGCCATATCGTCCAGCCCTAAATGTACCTCTGAAGGTTCTGACTGTCTTCAGAAACGATTCGATGGCATTTTGTTTTCATCTTCGCTCCATGTAATACCTAAAGGAAGTGTTCTTAATCGCAATACTGCTTTGTCCACAGAGGTTACAGGAAACGGCTCTAATTCAGCTTTTCCATAACCATTTACATTCAGTCTGTGTGCAGTTTCTGTCTGGCCAAAAATGGACCGAATTTGCATGCCCTGCTGTCAATTTTGACCGGTTGATGAAAAACAAGCTTATATGGATTCTACACATTTAAACAATTAAGATAAGATATCTAGAATTATTTATGGAGCAGATTAAATACATATAATCATTTATTAATCAATTATCATTTTGACATATCTCTTTTCTTTATTTAAAGGCGTTACTTTTTAACATCTCCAGCACATTTTAACAATATCGTGATAATACTGATAACCGTGATAATTTCGGTCACTATAACCGTGATAAGAAATTTTCATACCGTTACAATCCCTAGTTCAGAGATGCATTTTTCTGTAATCAGATCATGAGTGCTGTTACGGGGTCGTACACATGGTGTGCTTTTGAGTAGTGCAGGGCAGGCCTCGGTGTGTCAGTCTCGTTCCAAAATGTCTGTAGTCTGAAGACAAGTACAGACAGCTGTCTCGTTTGAAAGCTCTGTCCAAGAGCGTAATGGCTTTCAGCACCCGGCCCAGCCCGTGTTCTCTAACTGGCCTTTTCGCTCTTGATCTAAAATTTTCTTAGGATAGTTTAATTGGATGTCTTTATAAGTTAATAATTTTCACAAAAAAAATTATTGTGAAAATTAACATTGAATTATGCTCCTAACCTCTATGTGGAGTCCATAACGAGAAATGCTTATGCCATTGGAGCAGTTCAAGTTATTTTCATGTTATGGCCTATAGCTGATAAATGTCTCATATTAAAATTCTATACTAATACTATACTAAAATCAATTACTTTAAACACTACACTTGATTTTAGTGTAATTCGGTGTCATCAAAATGTACAGTATTGAAAATGTATGTTCTTTTTGAGTTTTACCTAAAGATTACATTTAACAGTATTATGAAATTATTAGTGTTTTAACATTATTATTCAATTATATCAGTTATTAGTGTTTTTAAAGATCAGTTTGAAGTTACGATGGTACAGGTAATCCAAATAGAGTATGCACAATTAAATAAGTCACCATAAGAACTAAATGGTCTTTGTATTATTATTATTATTTGTTTATTTAATGTATTTCGTTTTTTTTTTTTTTTTTTTGCAATTTTGTATTAATAATCCATCATAATCTTTAATCAAATATATTAATACATGTTCTTGTTTGAGAAGCCGTTTCACGTGTATATACTTCATAATGGGGAAAATATGATCGCAGTTTCCGTTTCATGCCAACAAAATTTTTATTTTCGACCAATGCCCGGGAAATTACCTCTAACATCAGCCAATATGGAACGATATATCGTTCAGTCAATGCTTTAAATATACATTGAAATATTAGTAAGCAGTTGTGATTTAATCTGCCTTTTTCATTTAATTCAGTTACATTTTAAATGACTTGTCAGCCCTAGTTGTTACATATGTTACTATATTTGTTGTTGTCACTTCACCGGGGGACCTTTTTCTGTTTACATAGTATTACGCAATGCTCCTCAGCCATACTGCTTGGCAGATATTTGAGTTTGACAGTTAAATATTTTAGTACATGAGGTGAAGGCAGTGTTGACTCGATCAATGGACTGGCGTCTCGCTGTCCTTGCTGTGCTATGTTTTAGAATGAAATGCCCTTAAAACTTGTCTTTTTTGAGGTGAAATTTGGAACTTCACTTTCATTGAAGTTCTTTAAACACTACATTTCTCTCTGTCATCATGCGGTTTAGGAAAATATTGTATCATCGACAAGCCCACCTCACCTTCCCTGTTTCTATGAAAACCGCACAGGATGTCCTCTTCTAGTTTACCTGCCAAACAAATAATGTTGTCATGAGAGCCTACAAGAGCTCTTTTTCTCCAGGAAGGTTGAGGGTTTGGTTTGTCTATAAATACCCCCTCCCCTTGCCTCCTCTCATTCACTTCCTGGCCTTTAAGAGGGGTCAAGTTGCACAGCTGCTCTCATTTGCTAATGTTAACCTGCTCTGTAGGGCTCTGTTCCTCTGGGCCATCGCCTGCCAGTGGCCTTGTGTTTGTTCCTCTTTAGAAAATAAGAGATGTGTGCATTTTTTTTTTTGGTCCAGAGATTTTCCAGGGCATCTTATAACCAATTAAAATTGGGTTCTGGCTTTCATTCAGACTGATTCAACAGTCGAATTGACTGATTCATTAAAAAGAACTGCACCAATGAAGCGATTCGTTCACAAATGCATATTGCGCTAAATGTTCCCTTTTGTGGTGTCAGCAAGGGCATTGCTATTTATTGTCAATATATTATTTTGGTGCCAAGTCTTTCTCATAACATGCAATTCACAAGTTGACAACTCAGCTAAAATATATAAACACTAGTTTAACCTTTGTGTCACCTTTCCTCATGACCTCCTATTTTGTCTTACAGGCCCGAATAGCGTTCCTCCAAGGAGAAAGGAAGGGTCAAGAAAATTTAAAGAATGATCTTGTTAGAAGAATAAAAATGTTAGAATATGCATTAAAACAAGAAAGGTTTGTAGTGTTTGTTTGTTTTTCTCAAACATTGCGTATTTTGTATATGTGTGTGTGTACATATTATGTACTTATGTACAACGATTCTCTTTTCTATTACCAGAGCAAAATACCATAAATTAAAATATGGGACAGAACTAAATCAAGGTGAAGTGAAAATGCCTAGCTTTGAATCGGGTAAGTGGACATAACTTCCTTTTGAAAATCTGTATATACACTTGTAGCGTATTTCATGTGATGAACTCTGCTAATAAAAGAGGTCTTCCCCTTTAAATATTCCTTTTCCGATGTGATGTCATTGTTAGAGTGGAAAGAAAAATGTCCGGTGTCATGAGGACACAGTAGCGTTTCACATGGCATTTCGACGTCCTCTAAGTCCTGATCTGTTCTCCTGCTGAAGCCGAACTATGAGTGTTTGAATCTCCCGCTGAATCTACTGTTGAAGTTTTTCAGAGTGCTTGGTTCTCCCACTGATGCTGTGTTTGGAGTGATTGAGTCTGCCGCTGAAGTCGTGTTGGGAGTGTTTGATTCTCCCGCTGATGATGTGTTTGGAGAGAAATTATGCCGTTAACATGATTTAAAACGGAGATTGAAGATAAGCCAAGCATGTTAGGGAAAGTGGGTGGGTTTTGTTTTTTTTTTCAAATATTTCAATCGATAGCTCAGGCATGGCACCAAAATGAGGCACCGAAATCTGCATTCTGATTCGGTTCTAGTACATACCGGTTACATAGGTGCAAATCACATTGCTAAATGCATTTTGAATGGACTGGGAGTTATGAATTTGCATATGAATCGCATTTCAGTGGAGTTGTATTTTTGTGTCTGTGTTTTTTGATATGTTTGGAATGTTGTACTTATGATATGTTTGGATTTATTGTACTTTTGAACTCACAGAAGATGATATTTCATGAAATTGTATATATGAATATATGTTGTTTCACCTGCTTGGTTGGTTGATGAAGGGTCATTTGAATTGATAACATAACACAGCAAAATAAGCAGGATATGATAAGGATCCTATAAATGGATACAAAATTTATTAGATTCCTTTGGGACGGTTTGCTTTAAATTACAAAATAATTGTCTGGATTAGCTACCAGGCTGGCACCTCACATGAAAATCGTCACACACTGCCATTCAAAAGTTTGGGGTTGGCAAAAATTTTGTTTTTAAGGTTAGAAGTCTCTTAAGGCTGTATTTATTTGATCAGAAATACAGTAAAACCAGTAATATTGTGAAATATAATTACAATTTAAAGCAACTGTTTTCTATTTTAAAGGGGTCATATGATGCGATTTTCAATTTTTCCTTTCTCTTTGGAGTGTTACAACTAAGCTCTGGGTGCATAAAGAAGATCTGTAAAGTTGCAAAGACTCAAATCCAAAAAGATATTCTTTATAAAAGTTAAGAGTCAACCACGCCTACCTAAAACGGCTCGTTCAAACACGCCCCCACATATCTACGTCACGATGTGGGAAGATTTGCATAACGCCGCCCAAATGTTCACGCAAAGAAAGAAGGCGTAACTTATTCTCGCTGTAGTATTGTTGTTGCCGCCGCTGCCTCGTGAAGACGCTGTGTGCTTCGTTGTGAAAGCGAACCTACTTTGTTTGTTCTTCCAAAAGAGGACACGACTAGAAATCAGTGGTTAAGTTGTATTGACAACACTGTTCCAGAATACTTCAACCCAAATATTCAAATGTATGCTGCGCATTTTATGGAGGACTGTTTCCTGAACCAGTAGCCTACAATGC